GTATGACACACTTCCATAATATTTGACCGATAAGGAAGCATTGATTTAAGTGTCAGACACCTAGGTGGTTGATGGATGCTCTGGTGTGACTTTCTCTTTCTTCCCTATCAAACATCGTTCGTCTTTATCTTTCCTCCTTCTTTTCTGTGCAGATTACTATCCAGTAGTACTTACTTTTTCTTCCGCTTGTACAGGTGGGAGTCGCGGTGAGACACAGGCGTCTGCCTGAAGCAAGGCGAATGGCCTGTAGGAGGGACATCCCGTAAGCTCTGAGGGTGTCTGCCACAGATTCGCTCCAGTTTCGCCTTGGTCATCCTCTGGCTTTTTAGCCAGAATATCTGATGTTGTATGCCCTCAGAGCTGGTGGGTTTGAAGGCATCCGTGTGAGGTGTCCGAACCACTTGATCCTCTCCAGTAGTAATATCTCTAATATCCGGCACGTATGTTGCAACATGCACCATAAAGCTGTTATTAAAACCAAACCTGTTTGATAAGGGTTGATTATTTCAGGGCGGTCAGATTTTTCGCCATGGAGAGGAAAAAGTTAAACATCTGGGACAGTCGGATCCAATCTTCCAAAATGAAATATGTTTGATTTTCAAGGTCACAATCTTGCGAAACTTGAAGGTCAACTTAAGTAGCGCGCCGAATGCTATAGACCCTAATGGACTTCAGCAGGGTCAACTTTAATAAAGCAAAGCAGTGATCTGTTTGATCTAGTGGCGTCGGTGGCTTAGAGTTGAAAAGTCGAGTGTTCGAATCCCATCAGGGATCAGGCGTGTCAATTTTCATCACTTCACCCGGGCGGGAATGGGTACCCGGCTATGGACAGAGAAAGACCTTGTCAGTTTGTTGGTGTCGTATGTTTAATCCGCTACTTGCACTGTATGCTTCCCGGTAAGCCGAGAATGTTTTTGAGTGTTCTAACGTCTGCTTGGGTAAAAATGGTAAATCATAGTTTTCAGCCAAAATAATCGACAAAAAACCCAACTCACTAAGTAATTCATTTATTCTCACTTTGGGCAAAATTTAATTACAACTTTTAAACGTACGATGTGAATAATGGTCTCAAGATTATTTTCGAACTGCAAATTTAACAAAAAATGTGAGGACAGAAAAGGAAGCAAAGAAACTAAGATGACAATTCTACAAACTATGTAGCATTAATTAGCAATACGAATTCAAGTGTGGCAGTCTTTGTCTAGGCTAGCTTTTTGCGGCTAGGAAATCATAATAATATCATGGCCCAATTTTAGAGCGGTAAAAAGTCCAGGGGAAAAAAAGTACTCACAGAAGCCACGGAATTATTAGGCATCAGCACCCCCCCCCCTCACTTTCTGAGGTGGACTCTACTAATCCAATTATTAGTTTACGTAATCAGTGCTTGAGACTGCTTAAGAGAGTGGCCCAAAAGGGGCGAACAGGTTTTTTTTGTAACAATGGAACAGTGGTGAGTGTTGGGCTCACGGCTTAAACTCATTAAAATTAAAGGCCTCTCTATGGGTGTATTTCACGGCGACGATGTTTCCAAAACTACGGAAGGAAATCGGTGAATCAGTTTTAATTATGTAGGCTTTGAGGAAATCATGGGGAAACACGGACTTGGAGTCAGAAACGAGAATAGAGAACTATTTGTGGAAATATGTGCAGCAAATGGGCTCGTGATAGGAGGAATCGTTTTCCAAACATAAACAGATACACAAATCAACATGGGTGTCTCCAGACCAACAAACTGAAAACCAGATTGACCAATGTGTCAACAAGAAATTCAGGAGCTCAATAAGGGATGTTAGAGTTTACAGGGGGCGTAGACGTAGCTTCTGACCATCAGCTGCTCATTTCAATAATCCGACTAAAACTAAAGCAAAGACAGTGAATTTTCAATCATGGGTGCCTGTACAACGTGGAATTTCTGAAAGAGTCATTGTCAAGAGAAGAGTTTAATGTGGAACAGCGAAATCCTTCGGACCTCTCCAGATGAGACGAAGTCATTTTTACTCGATTGCGCATCGGACACCCGGCCCTGACCCACAAATACCTCCTACAGGGAGATGAGAAGCCGTTCTGTGTCGGATGCGACACAGATTTTACCATTAGACACATCTTAACCGAATGTCTGGACTTTGGAGAGATCCGAAGGAAATATTATAAATGCAAGAAATTGCAAGACATTTTTTCCGTCCATCGCTCCGACAGAATTTTGAATTTAATAAAGGCCATTGGCCTTTATGGCAAATTATCAAGTGACATCGAATTATTCAAATTTTTAAAATGTTATCTAGGAAAATTGTTTTAGATTGAAAATATACATATATTTACACTGATTTTTAAACATTTTAAAATCTAACTACTGACCCAAGCCAGCCTTACAGTAAACTGTTGTGAACAAAACTAACTTGTGTTTCGCGCGCTCATATGACCTTATGCAGTTGCGAGCGCCGTAAAACCTTGTATTAAACAAACAATGAGAACAGGCCCCAAGTGTTGCAAACGCTAGGCGAGGATAGCAGCGTGGAAGAAACATGGGAGGTAATAAAAGAAGGCTGGACCACTGTGTGTCAAAAGTTACTGGGGAAACAGAAACGTGAGCCCAAGTAGGGGATATCTGCCACCACTCTGAGGAAGATAGAGGACAGGAAAAAGAAAAAGTATCAAGTAAACAGGAGCAAGACAAGAGCAGCAAAAGTAAAGGTCCAAGAAGAATTCACCAAAGCAATGAAGGATGTAAAAGTCAATGTAAGGAAAGACAAAAGAAGCCATGTATATGACCTGGCGGGCGAAGCAGAGGAAGCAGCAGGGGCAAGAAACATGAGAGGACTGTATGAAACCACCAAGAAACTTCCAGGCAGATACAAGAACGCAGATGTGCCAGTTAAGGATAAAGACGGAAAGCTTCTCATAAATCCAGACGAACAGAAAGAACGCTGGAAGTTGCATTTTAAAGAGCTACTTAACAGACCAAGGCCTGAAAAACAGCTTGACATTCCACCAGCAGAGATTGATCTGGAGGTGAGTGAGTGAAGGTCTAGTTTAGAGGGGATCAAGTAGACGACAGGACACCAGAAAGCAGGCATGGCGGCCGGCCCAGACGGAATTCCCCCAGAAGTTCTCAAGGCAGATATAGACACTGCGGCAGGGATTATTCATGGAATTATTGGCGAGATATGGGAGGGCGAAGAATTTCCACAGGACTGGAAAGAGAGAGTTTGTTTGTGAAACTACCCAAGAAAGGATACCTGCATGAGTGTTAAAACAACAGAGGAATCATGCTCCTATCTATGACATGGAAGATTTTACGTCGTACCATACTATAGAGACTGAAGGAAGCCCTGGATGTAAAACTAAGAGAGGAGCAGGCAGGATTTTGTAAAAAAAGAGATCATGTACAGATCAGATTGCAACTTTGAGGATAATAGTGGAACAGTCCACAGAGTGGAACTCTTCCCTGTAAGTTAACTTTGTTGATTTCGAGAAAGCTTTTGACAGCCAGCCAAGATAGGGACTCAATATGGAAGCTCATGCGTCATTATGGAATACATGACAAGTTCGTGAGATTGGTCAAGAAGATGTAAGAAGGATGAGCTGCAGCGTCTTACTTGGAGGGCAGCCGACAGACTCGTTAAAAGTGAAAACAGAAGTGAGACGGGGAAGCCTGCTATCCCCTTTTCTCTTTTTATTAGCAGTGGATTGGATAATGAGACAGACAACATCGGGACAACGCGGTGGCATTCAGTGTACCCTTTCCAGTCTGTTTGAACACTTGGACTTTGCCGACGACCTGGCCCTTCTTTCTCACAGTTGAGCCCAGATGCAACAGAAGACAGAATCAGATCACCTCAGGACCTTCTCCCGAATAAAAAGAAAGTTCTTCAAATGAATGCAGCCGACTTTCTTATCACACTACAAGGGGCACCATTGGCGGATGTTGAATCCTTCACCTACCTGGGAAGTGTCATCAACAAGGCAGGGGGAATAGACGGAGACATCAAGGTCAGAATCCAAAAGGCAAGAGCAGCATTCATCATCCTGAGGAATACATAGATGTCTAAGGAACTGGGATTGTACACGAAGCTGAGGATCTTCAAAACAAACGTGAAGACTGTTCTACAGTGTGGTTCAGGGATATGGAGGCTCACAGCACCAGCAGAAAGGAAACTGCAGAGCTTCATAAATGGACATTTAAGAAGGATAGTGGGGATCAAGTGGTACGATCGAGTCGCAAATGCAAATGTGGGAAAGAACAAGCCAAAGGCCAGTAAAAGAAGACATACAGGTGAAGAAATGGAAATGGATTGGACACACCCTGAGGAGACCCCCAACAAGCATCATCAGGCTTTGACATGGAATTCACAAGGAAAACGTAAGAAAGGAAGACCAAAGATGACATGGAGGCGAGCGGTGCAAGCGGAAATGGAAAAGATGGGGGGACAACACGGAAACAGCTAGAAAAGGTTGCACAGGACAGGCTTCACAGGAGAAATGTTGTTGATGGCCTATGCTCCACTGGGATTTAAAAAGGGCATGATCAGAGATGGGTGTATTTGACGGCGACGATGTTTCCAAACTACAGAAGGAAATCAGGGAATCAGTTTTAATTATCTAGGACCGAAGGACTAGAACTCAGATGGCCGCTGAATCGGAAAAGCAAAGTAAAGTAAAAATTAATTATGTAGACTCCGCAAAACGACCCGAGTTCAAGAACGCCCAGTCTAGGATTCGAATCAGGGCCATCCGCTCCGCAGTCCGGCAATGTACCAACTCAGCTAACACTGACGGGACGCTCGGCACGGCGTCTCACACTACGTGTATGTGAAAGGTGCCAATGGCTGGGCTCTCTTCTGTCATCTTCCTCATTCATTTCCTCCCATTCTCTCTCTCTCTCTCTCTCTCTCTCTCTCTCTCTCTCTCTCTCTCTCCCCCAAGAATCACATCGCTAACGTTGTGTCTCTTTGTTTTTGTTCTCCTAAAAAGACGCAGGTGAGCCGAGAGCTCTGCAGAAA